CATGGCAATTATTCAAGGACTTTACATATCTCAGTTACTGCAAAGACATTATCGAAGCAGGTCAGTCTTTCTATCCCTTCGTTGTTGTCTCATTCCGAATTTAATCTGAGACCAAATAAAAGTTCCAACCACCGGCGCCACCGAAGAATTAACATCACAGGTGCTGAATCAGATCATTCATCAATCAGAGGCACTCACTTCCGCTGTAGGTATTCCTCCGCAGGGGTTTGTTGAGGATTTTCAATTCCACTTACTGATTCTTCCTTTTCTTCGTGCTACCGTAGGTTAAAGAAATCAGCGCCGACCCAACCCAGATCGAAAACTTCCTCGCATCCAGAGTCGATCCACAATCTATCTACCAGAAGATCCTCGTAAGTGCATTTCCTCCTTCATGCATACCCCCTGGATAAATAAATACTGACAAGTTAAATGCCACCTCAAGATCGCCATCACAACCGAGTACTCCGTATACAATCTCATCACCTACCCCTTCCAGGGCCGCATGGCCCAATACGTGACCCACACCTCCGTCATCCTCCCCACCACCCAACTCCCCGCCACCGCCAAACCCTTCTTCAAATTCAAAGCCTTCAGCTACGCCCACCCAGACACGACCCTCATCTCCATCGGCTACCAGAACGACTACATCACCACCACCATCTCCGTCGGCACGCACCTCGCACCTGATGTCGAGACGCTCGCATTCTGGGCATTCACAGACAAGGCAAAGATTCCCGCGAGCGCAGAGTTCTGGGCGTTACAGCTTGATCAGCTGGGGTATACGGGGACACAGGGCTTGAGGCCTGAGTATGCGTTCATGTTTGATCCGGGTCCAATGGCGGATATAATGAAGGGGATGGGGGTTGGAGTGGGGGATAGGAATGGGGCGATCAATAACGTTGCACAGCAGGCGCTGGAGGAATTGATGTCGGCGGAGGAGGCGGCGGGGAAGCAGGATGTTGAGCTGTATCCGAAGAGTGATGGGAGTGGCTCTCATTTGTTTTTTGTTTTGAATGCGGATTAAAGTGGAAGGGGTTGGACTTGATGGGAAGGGGACGACAAAGATTTTGAATATGTGAAAGGAGGGGCAGCAGGCCATGGAAATTTTCTTTTATTTTTTGCAATGGCTGAGATTGGGTTTCAATTATTTGAGTTGTCAATTCTCGGGAGGAATATGATTGGTTTTGCTCTGCGGACCCGGCATTTTGTTCTTTTATCTATCGTGATGGCAATGTGCTGATGTTTAAAAAGGAATTAAACCCAAATTGATTCACGGCTAGGTATTTCTCTTCTGTTCTTTCGCCTACATGCATATCAACTCGATCTTCATCCGTGTATGGCCATGTCCCTCCATCACCCATCAAATGGGCCATACTTCCAGGGCTCACTGGCCAAGTACCCTCTTGGATACGCATTAAAGGTTTCAATAATGAACCCCCATCCCACACCTCATACAATTGTCGAAAAAAATCTAACCCAAACTTCATTAACAAAAATTATCTTACAGATTTAAAAAAAGAAAATAATAAAATACTCACGTGCAAGAGCAAATGATAGGAACAATTTTAAGTCCAGAATAATATAAAAATCAACTACACCACACCACACACACACATTTAAAAATCTGGCATGCAAGGAACAAATTCAAGTCCAAACAATCATCAAAATCAACTACGCCACACCACACACACATTTAAAAATTTGGCCTGCAATATATACAGCCTCATAGGCTACACCAACTCCGTCCTAGTCACCCCCATGTCCACCTCCCACCTCCACTCCCAAGCCGACGATTACTACGCCCTCGTCACCTCCCTAGTCGCCATCCTTAACCACTGCCTCAACGCCTACAAACTCGGCCACCATGAAATCGAAAGCTACAAGCACAGCCACCACCCCCAGAGCCCCATCCCCTACGTCCGCATCTCCGCCCGCCAAGACGCAATCCAATCCATCCTCACGCAGACCCGGCTCCAGATACACAGGGTGGATAAGCAACTCCCGCAGGTCTGCGATAAGCTCGAGTTTTTATTGGATGCATGCACTAGGGCGAGGAAGAATGTCATCGGGAGGTATAAGATGAGTGATGTTGATGCGTTTAATGCGGACACGGCGAAGGGGGCACTGGGGGGGTTGGTGGAGGTGAGGGCGCTGTGTAAGAGTGAGTGGGGGAGGTTGAGTAATGCGTTTAGGGAGGCCTTTGGGGTGGATATGGCACATAATAGGAATTCACGGCAGAAGAAGGCTCCGCCGAGAGGGACATTAACGCCGCCTGAGACACCGAAATCGGGGAGAAGCTGGCTGTTTAGCAAGACACCGTCGCAAGGGACGATGACGCCGCCGAAGACGCCAACGGAGAGCAAATCAAAGACCCCAACGGAGAGCAAATCGAAGAGCAAATCGAAGACGCCATCGAGGAGAAAATTGTGGTAATGTTATTCCATTTTCAGTGTGGTTTGCTATAGTTTGATTAATCTATAGATGAGAATTGACATGATTGCTATATATAACCGAGCTCAGCATGTATCGGATATTTCGACTGATCATGACCGTTACCTCTTCACTTTGGCGAGGTACATTTAAAGGGGAATTATTCACTAAATGAAACTAACTTTCCAGTTCCCAGCGATTGATGACCACGTTGACTTACTAACACCGAATACTAATCTTCATCAAAAAAAAAATAACAAGAGACGTGCTCCTACTAATATCAATTCTAGATCATCAACATAAATTAAATCCAGCATAGTTAATTTCTTTTTTGTATTATATATTCTACATCAGTATACGTATTTGTCTACCTATTTCATTATGCCTCTAGATCTCTTCCTAAAATCATTTCCGCAGCAACTTTATTATATAGACTAAATCCCCAAATCTCATTTTTCTTTATTTAAATTATCTCTAGCTCTAGATATTCGGGCCCCTTCCAGCCCCCGCGCAAGCAAAAAAGATATTTCTTTTATTATTTTACTACAACTTGATCAAAGCAGTCAATCCATTTATAGACACCAATCAGCTGCAAAAACTATGATCGTTCATGGACCTTCGTCTAGTTCGCCCAACTTTATTATTACATGTTATACAGTTTACTACCCAAACTCGGCAGCATTTGACTACCCAATGCGGTAATACCCTATTTGAGTAGGCCAATTACGGGTAGCTTCATGCCAAGAAACGCCGGAATAGGTAGCGAGCGAACTCTAGCCAAAAGAGTAGGCATGTTAATTAATACTTTTCAGCTATACATCAAATGCATTCCGCAGGGGTTTAATATGTGACGGAATATATCGCTCTACCTCTGTGAATTATGCATACGTATAATTAAGAATAATAATATATATTCTCTCGCTACCTTTAAATATTTATTGAACCCAAACATCACGATCGGTATCCGAAATCAATATCTCTGAAACACAAATTTTCCAAAGTCCTAGACCTTAAATGGAGAAGCGTAATTCCATCTCCCAACTGCCAATCACATCCCAGTAAATCTCTTCCCCCCTCTTCCCCCCTCTTCCCCCCTCCTCCGCTGACCCGTCCTCCGGGTGCCCACATTGCCAGCTTCCAACTATCCGACACCATTAATCAACCTGCCCTCCCTTTCCGATACTTATTGGCCCTCAAGTGCGCCTTCTTCCGCTTCATATTCCAAAAGGATGCATCTCCAAGCCACGACGCCCCCCCCCCCCCTCGCTCCCTCCCTCCTCCGGAAAAGAAGGAGGTCAATGTTACCCTGAACCGTAAACTCCGCATTCGTCCCCCTCCCACACCTACGTCCACCGGATAAGGGAGGGCTCGATGCGGAGGAATCGGTGTTGGCGCAGAGATGATGGTTAAGCTTTTCTCTAAGCGCTCGCCTCTTCTGAGGATGCGGGAGACGTTGGTGGTCGTTGCGCATGACTGTAAAAGCGTCGCTGATTGGCTACCTCCGTGCTAATGGTAATAAAGCTTGTTGTGTTGGCGGAGATGTTGTTCACGTCACCTCCGCATTACCTCCAGGACAACCAGTAACCATTATATCGATGATGCGTTTGTCTGTTCTCTCTTCATCAGCGGGTGCATGTATGAGAGGGTGGTGATAGTGCGGTGGGTAGGAAGTTCATATATAGGGTTAGGGGTAGGGGAATCGCTCCACCATCCTCAAACCTCGCCCCTACACCACCGCGCGACGTCGAAATAAGGATACCACCCCTGCTCGCCTACAAAACCCCACTACTCACCTAACCATTAAACTCCCGAAGTGCCGCATCCCACCCTCGGCTACCCGCCACACTCTAATCCGATCGAAACCTCAATACACCCACCACACCCCCAACCCAGGCAGCAAAAGCGGCTTGGTTAGACGCCCTATTATTATTGCGGAAGGGCGGGCGGGGGGGGGGGCGTTGTGTGGTGTGCGGGCGGAGCCGGCGTCCATCCTCGGGAGGGGAGAGCCGCTCATGGGGGTGTTGTCTTCCCCCAGGGACCTGTGATGTGGGGGGATTGTTTGTCAAAGGGCTTGAGAAGGCGCTGCGACTGACTGTCCATTGCGACGGTCGAGCGGAGCGTATCCTGTTGTCGCGATAGGCGGAGGGGGTGACCTTGTTCGATTTGGCGCGGGGGCAGAGATGGCGATGGGGGGGCCGCGCATTCGAAGCTGTGTGGTCTGTTTGGCGAGAGCAGCGACACAGTGAGCGTGGGCGATAGGCGATACAGCAACCCAAGATTTGAATATTCCGGTATGGATCGTCGCCGGCCCCCGGGTTTGTTTGTTTTTATGGGATGTTGATGTTGATGCAACTTGGTGATGCGGGCGGGGTGGCTTCGCCATTCCTAGTGTGCTAGCGGAGGTGGCCAATGTCGTCGATATCAAGAATGTAAATGGCCGGAGATTGAGGTTCTGTTGACGAAACGAGATGTTGAGGTGTTCTTTGGGATAAGTGATGGTGAGCGGTTTAGTGAGCAGGCCGATTGGCATCTAGCCATACAAACATAGATCGATAATTCTTCAAGTTCAGGTCTCTGTAGCTCAGTGGTAGTAGCGAGAGATTGCAGTTAGTTGTCTAATAACGACTATCTCTAGGTCACCCGTTCGAACCGGGTCAGGGACTTAATATTTTTGTTTTTATTTTGCTTGATGATCCCGTTAACATGATGATGGGATGTGTGTTGTGCTCGTCGCATACTACAAAAAAACATTATCGCGATAATCGTTTTTGCTCGCTGTGTGAGGTGTGTGTGTGTATAGTGATGGCAGTCTAATATATATATCGAAAATATTTTAATTTTTATCTGCCCGCAATACTAGCCTCGTCCCCCCGCAATACACCTAGTCTCGCGCTCTGAAATACGTGAACATTGTGTGTCTTCACTTCAATAGAGAATATTTTCATTAATTAATGTATAAAGAGCGAGACCCAATTAATGTCATTAACAATTTATTTATATATGAATGCAAGATGACCACCCGGTTTTGAATTATTCATGAAGCGAACAAAAAGGTAAAATTAATTAAAGAATGGCGCAAAAAAGAAAGATAAAATCTATATATGCAATGAATGATACATTAAACGAATGAAAGAAAAAGGAAACACTCTCCCACTCTCACTCCCACCCACTGCGGGTTGGATATCGAGGTATGTGGGAGGCGGGATGGATTATAAAAAGAAATGCTATCCGGCACTCCCGGAAATTCGGAGGTCGAATATCCGGAAGCCCAAAATAAAAATAGGGGGGGGGTGAACGCTTCAATGAATTTTTTTTACTTTCCTTCTTCCTTCTCCCTCGACTCTCTCTCTCTCTCTCTCGGCTCAACTCATATTTGATTGGGGAGTTTACGCCTTCAACTTCATCTCCAAGTCATCCAAGGCAACATGTCTCAGTCCCTCGCCATCCATGTCAATCTCTACCTTCAACCCAGCAGCCCACCTCCCTGCAGGCGCAACCCACTCACCAACACCCTTCTCCCAGCCAAAGGCCTCTGGCTTCGAGCGGTCCCACACGAGGACAAGCTCAATGACCTTGTCAGCACCGAGATACACCTTTGCGGTGGCGGTGACATTCGCGAGCTCGTTGCTGGGGAGGACGTATCCGCGGAGCGACAAGGAGTATGTGCTACCGGGGCAGACTGGGATGGACTGGCGCACGGCGTTTCCGGTGTGGAGGTCGCCAAAGTAGATTGCGTGGAGGACGTTGGGGGAGGTGTTTTGGAAGGCGGCGACGGCGTTGCCTGTGTAGGGGACCGTGGTGTCGACGAGGTCGGTCGCGTGGGAGATGTCTGTCCAGGCGCCCTCGGGGGTGTTTTCGAAGCCGCCGTCGAGGATGGGGGAGGTGTGGATGCAGGATGGGGCGGAGGAGGTGGTGGATGTGGTCGCGGTTGTGGTTGTGTTTGTTGATGCGGAGGATGTCACGGAGGTGGTGGAGGTGACGGTGGAGGTCACGGCGGGGATGGTGACTGTGCGGGTGATTGCGGGGATGGTGACGGTCTGTGTAGAGCCACCTGGCCTGACGGAGACTGTCGCTGTCTTTGTGACTGTTGGGCCTGGGACATTGACTGGAACCGTGACGGTCTTGGTCTTCGTTGGGCCTGGGATGCTGACTGTGACGGTCTTTGTTCCGGCGTGGATGGTGCTGGTCTTGGTGATTGTGGGGCCTGCGACGCTGATGGTCTTTGTGCCGGCGTAGACGATCTTTGTGTTTCGGGGAAGAGTAGTCTATGATACGATACCCAAAAATTAGTAATTATTTCTCTAGAATAAAGCGGAGGAAAGCTATCCGGGAGTGAGGGCGGAGGTTGTCAGGAAGGTTAACTCACAACGACAGTAACAGTCGAGTACCCCTTCAACTTCGTCGCCGTCGCCGTCGTCGTCTCAGTCACAGTCCAGAACTTTGTCATCGGTGGTGCCTGTGTGCAGTTGCCTGCAATGCCAGTCGGTATGGTAGCCTTTGTTGATGTCGGCCAGCTATTCACATTGTCAACAAAAAAATCCGAAAATCGCACACAATAGATAATATAATGACTTACTGTGGACGAGGGTCGTCATGGTGATCATCCCACTTGTCGCGCCCATGACCTCTATCCTCGTCTCCTCTCCATCGCCCTTGATCTCCGCGATCTGCGACGGGCGATGCGCCGGTGGTGGTGAAAAGGAGTGTTGCAGCTGTAGCGGCCAGAACCTGGAGGAGTGACGAAGGATGCATAATGAGCGTGGTGGTATGTTTGCAATTGACAAAACTAGACCGATATTGTTTTTTTTTTCCTTTCCTTTACGGCTTGTCACAACGTCGTCCCGTCGGAATTGAAGGGTGGGTCGCTGTAAATATATATATATTTCGCTTGTTCGTGGTAGTGCTGGTAAATGGAGCTTGGATTAAAATAAAAAAAAGAACGTGGGTAGCAGGGTATGCTATGCTGTAAGGAAACTATTAATTTAAAATTATAAAGAGAGTGTATGAGTGCGCGTTCAAAAGAGTGTATTCGGTGAGAGACCGATAGGTGGTTGAGTGGGAAAGAGGTGAGGAAGGATGGGGAATGGGTCGAAGATTAAGTGTTGATATCCCAAGGCTGGGAGAGCAACTCTACTCGAGTACAGGGTACAGCAGACAGGCAGGTAGGTAGAGGGTACACTAGCGCCTCCTTTTTCACATACAAAACTCGTATCAGCCACAGCGTCTTCTCACATCCCACCCTATCCCGCATCAACCTTACTGCGAAATCCTGGGAATGGCTTTGCTATTGGGAACCCCAGCACCCGGTGAAATTAACCGATCCCAATATGTCTTTAGCGAACACTATCTGCTGCCTGTCGAACCTGGAATTGATGGCTTCTCGCTGTTCTCGTTCCCAGGCTTCTCGCCCACTCGAGAGCGATTGACTCTGGGTAATAATTATATTAATATCTAAACTATTTAATAAACACTCTATTAGTATTACAATTTTGTATTCTTATGCATCGAGAAGGAATTTTGTTCAAGAATAAAGTGCTTTATGTAAGGGAATCCCAGGTTGAAACCTCACCAATCGTCCCCCACCCTTCTCTCATTCCCCCCTTCTCTCCTGTATTATCCCATGCCAAGGGATGAATGAATAAACATTTTTAAAGAAACATGTTTATTTATTTTTTTTCTTCCTTCGGCCTCCGGATACGGAGTAGACAGATTCGATCTGGGCGAGTCAATCCTTATTTTGTGCATCTCCACGCGACAACTTAATTTCCCTCGTGTCGAGACATGGGGGAGAGGGGGGGAATGACATGGGGTGGGTGGATAGGCTTGGGATCAATGCGCTCCTCGCTTCAACTGCCAATTGTCCACGCAATTGGACGAATTGGCGACAAAAACCACAACAAAACAAATAAACGAAAGCGGGATGGGTGGCGAAATTGATTCCCTTTTTTTTTTTTTAACCTTACCGGAACCTCTCGCTATGGCAATGTCCTCCTCGTATTTTGGGGACCCACTCGCACTCCCGATTTTTTTCTGCAGTCCGAGCCCGTTAAGCTAGAGAGGCAGCCACACCCTTCCACAACCTCACCCGCTCCCCCACCCCATCCCCGATCAGGACCTGGCGTCGCATTAATTGCCCGAAATCGCACGAGTCGACAAGGATAAACCCACCTGCGGTAAGAACTGCGGTACCTGGATCGATCTCATTCCCTTTTTTCCTGCAGGGATCACTGGGGCCGAAAGATGACGGCTTGGCGGAGACGGGACGGGGATGAGGGGGTGGATGGGATCCACATCTGCCCTTCTTCCACTTCCCTTGCATTACGGCAGGTGTGGAGGAGGGCAGGGTGGAGTGGATCATCTGCCGGGACTGGCTGTCCTTGCAGAGCAAAATACCAACGGGTGGGGATGCCTTAAGATGAGCTGTGATGAAGAGAGTGGATTGGGAGAGGACGGAAAGTAAATATGGCCCATTGAGGAGAGCACGGACACATGCTGTCGTCGCCGGCAAGTGCATTTCTTTGGGCCGCGAGCCGGGAGGTGGCTGAATTTATTTGGCGGCGGCATGAGTAGTAAAGTAGAGTTGGTAGTGCCGATGAAGATTAAGCTTCAACATTCCCACGATCGGGGAATATTCACCTCTCCATGCTTTAGCAACACCGCCCTACTCCATAAAATTAGGAACTCATACTATTTTAACCTCCTCCCTATAATTTTCACCTCCGCGCGCAAATCTAAATCGGTACTTTGCCCTATCAACACAAAAATCCCGCCTAGACCTCCTTTAATAAAAAAAGCTTAATGTAGCCGTGCGCAGCAAGCGAGCGACTCCACAAACCGCGATAGGAAGTTATCTTCGGCAAAGGTACCTTCCGCATCCATACCATCGCGGCTTGTGTTGATATAGTTTCTGACCGTGCGCATATCGCATCCACAGGTGGCATGTTTGTTGTTCCTAAGCCTGTGGAGCTACCTAAATCTGAATGAGGAGAGTTGGTTTTGTATTTTTGGATAACTCCGCTCTATACTCCATCCAGAGTAGGTAAACCTATATCGCTGTGATAATTATCTTGTTCACACATTCCGTGTTTTCCGGGAATGGTAAGCTTCCAATTGCAACCCCCCCATGCGAAAGTAATAGGTACTCGGTAATATACTCCAGAGTGGAGTAATAAATACCTGCAATATACTCTATATATCGTCACATATATGCTTCCAAACCCAGAGGTGATTGACCGGTGTACTCTATGGCATTTGGGTAAATAGGCATGCGCATGTATGCGTGGCAACGTGCTGGGATATCTGGAATGGGTTGGTGGGGGCGCCTAGCGAGGTATCGATACTCTATTGTCTCCATTGCTGGTCCAGTTTGAGTAAGAAGCCTCAAGAGGGAATTGTATATACCAATGTCAGAAATCGCTTCACCGTGTGATCAGGAAAGAGCAACTCCAGATAACTAATTTGTACTCACTTATTCAATTCAGAATTCTATCGCAGACCGCCTATTCGCGGAGCTTTGCGAACTTTTAAAGCCTGGGGGTGGGTTGCCCAAGTCAATAAATAACACAGGAAGCGAGAGGCATTGAAGATTAGTAAGCGGCTTTGCTCTATGTTAATTTCTCCGCCTTTGCGAGGCCTGCGACAACAGTGTTGTGGTTGTGCTTGT